ACTTTATGATAAAAAAGGACATAAACAGGATAGCCAAATTCATCTAATGTCAACTTTGCTTGACGGAGTTGGAACCTATGTTTATTGATTATTTATAAATTTATAAAACGTTACGGTAAATTCTATATAAGTATATGTATAAAATCATGTCAGTATCGAAAAACTGCTCTTAGTCATCAAATGATAATGTTTTATTGGCATTATTGTAGATCTTGTATGTATAACATGTTCTTGCTGTTTGTCATGTTTACAGTTTCCACTTTCTATCTATCTATAATAACACAGTTTTCCAGATAATTGGCAAAACTTTACAAACAAAAAAAATATAAGGAGCCGTCCAATGTTTAAGGTATAACAGCAAATTCTATATTATATCTTGTATTCCTGATAATTTTTATTGCTTACATTTTATACCTACCTATTATGGATTTCGGCAAAAACAAAACACATGTCAAAAATCGTTATTTAAGAGCTAACCGTAATAAATCCTTAATGGGTCATCCCGTTCATATTTGAATTTTTGTAAATCTTGTACGGCTGACCATTTTATGGATTTATAGTTTATATTTACCTATTATACTTTCGAAATAATTGGATAAATTACAGAATTTGTAAAAAAAAACATCACAGTGATATCATACTTTAACTTTGTTTAAACCTGTTTATTTACGTTTGACTTTAATTATTTATCCCTTGTAATTTTTTATTAACTGTGTATTTGCATTCAGGTGTCAAAGGTCAAATTTATTCGTTCATTGTGTGTTAATTTACGTTTTTTGATTGAGTTAAGCCTTCCAATTGATATTTTATAGTGTGTTTTTCTATGTTGTGATGTTATACTATTGTTTCAGAAAAGGGAAAAGGTTTGGTACCATTAAAACGTTTAATCCCGCTGCAAATGTTTGCACCTGTCCTAAGTCAGGAATCTGATTACAGTAGTTGTCGTCTGTTTATGTAGTTCATACGTGTTTCTCGTTTCTCGTTTTTATATAGATTAGACCGTTGGTTTTTCTGTTTGAATGGTTTTACACTAGTAATTTTTTGGGGCCCTTTATAGCTTGCTGTTCGTTGTGAGCCAATGCTCCGTGTTGAAGGCCGTACCTTGATCTATAATGGTTTACTTTTATAAATTGTAACTTGGATGGAGAGTTGTCTCATTGGCACTCAAACCACATCTTCCTATATCTATCATCTAATGGCAATAGCTCATTCAGGAGACTTCCAATGGTTTCAGTCAAAGAGGACTTAATGCAGATCTTGTGTTGTTGATTTCGTTTGATTAATTTCTACCTTACTACCCGTATCTATTTTCTTGTTAAGAAATTAGACAAACATGGAAGTTAGTCAAATATTGTCATTTAAGGGTAATAATTCTTTAATGAGGGATTCAAGGAGTTAATTGTTTTTAATTTTTTGTAGATCTTGTACGGATGATCATGTTTGCGGTCTACAGTGTCTGTCTATCTATGATTTTGATCGAGATAATTGTAAAAAAATACAAAATTTTGTCGAAAAACATCTTTTAGGTGTTAGGGAGTCATCCAATAGATTCAGTCATGTTGGCTGTTTAGTAGATCTTGTATTGCTGACATTTTTCGTTGTTTACAACATCTATCTATGTATTATAATTTTAGAGATAAAAGGCAAAAGCATGCATAAGGATCAGCCTACAATAGTCTTTTTCGTTGGTTTCTGTAAAATTATACATTTTGCTGATCTTGTACTACTGGTGTTTTCCTTAAAATTCACCTTACTATCTTTTGTTGTTTTTAAGATACCAGACAAACAGTTGAAATTAGTAAAAAAAAATGTTATTCAAGGGGGTACTTAACACTTCGACTAAAATTGATTTCACTCGTTTAATTTTCATCAAGTTTTGACAAAATATTTACTTTCAAATTGACCTGTTGACATAAATATAAAAATTTCAAAAAATTTGACCCACACAATTTATAGGAATTATTTCATTGGATATATTATATTTGTTTGACAAACACTAATTTTGATTATAGAGAAGCTAGATTTCTCTTTACTAATAGTATGTGATTAAAACGTTAGGCTGATTTTAAAGAGTCAACGGTTTCAGTTGTATTTTCATTTTTGTAAAAAAAAACGTGTTGGTTGACCGTTTAATACGGAATATCTGTTTTACACATTACGACGGATATTTTCCAATTGTCGCAACCACAATTACATCCGCATCTCCTCGAATGTGACCTATTGAATTAGTCTTAATATCACCGGATTTGTACTAACATAAGCACGGATGCCACATGTGGAGCAAGAACTGCTTACCATTCCAGATCACCACCGGTATTTGGTGGGGTTCGTGTTGTTCAGTCTTTGGTTTTCTATGTTGTGTTTTGTTTACTGTTTCTTTAATTTTTGCCATGGCATTGTCAGTTTGTGTGAGTTTGAAATTCCCTTTGGTATCTTTTGCATATCTTGTATGGATGATCATTGCTGCTGTTTACTGTTTCTGCCTGCCTATTTAAAAATAAAGAGATGTGGTAGGATTGCCAACTATCCACCATAGTTCAAATGAAGTGGATGTAAACAATTATAGGCGACCGTACGGCCTTCAACAATGAGAAAAACCCATACTGTATGTTCAGCTTTAAAAGTCTCCGACATGAAACATGTGAATCGAGAAAACTAACCGTTTAATTTATAACAAAACAATTTTCAAATGTGACTGACATGAACCAACAACAACCAATAAACTACCGGCTCCTGACTCGGAACAGACACATATAGAATGTGGCGGGGTTAAACATGTTTTGGGCGCTTAACCCTTCCCCTCACCTGGGACAGTGGTGTAACACCAAAACATAAGAACAAGCTGTAAATATCAGTTGCAAATGGCTTAACTCGAAAGATCGGTACGAGGCACAAAAACAAACTGAAATATCAAAATCCAGAACATGGCATAATTGATGCCCATAGGAAAACTTACAACCTGTCGATAAACTTTATAGCCGAAACGAACATAAATGTTACCAAGGAGAAAAATTAAAGCTTTAAATCATATCATCACAGTTCCAGTAAGTATATCTAGCATATTTTCCTTTTTCCTTTTTCTCTGTAAATAGCCACCCACAAACTTTTAAAATCATTTTGTAACCAAGTGTTGTTCATCTACGTTTTGAAGTTAGCTAGAGATCAGGTTTGATGATCTTGCTAAAATGTCGTCAGATGCTCGCCTTTTTTACCGCATATCGGTTTTGTTGTCTCTCGAATTTTCTTGCATTAGCTTCATGGTTATGATCAGTAGTCCCTGACACAACGTTGGAAGCATCTCCATCGCCTAACACGATTTTGCCGTACATTGTACACCTCACGAAATGACTCCTGACTTCTACGTATTGTCAATTTTGTAAGTAAATCCACCATACAGCAATGACTTCTGTTCTTTATTTGTTAGCAATAGTTTTAGTTCTGGTTCCATCATAAACGTACTTATCGTCCAAATGACACTAACAAATTAAATGGACATTAGCTCAGTTAAATATTAAATACCTGTACAATTTAACAGTGCTTTGCATTTAATAGGATGATAAATCAACATACAGATACATGTATATCTATAAATAAAAATTGCGCAAATGTAATTTTTTTGTGGAAATGTAAGCCCGTTAACCTCAAAATCCGGGCAAATGTAATATGCTAAAACGAGCACCATTAGGCAACAAGTCGAAGAAAAAAGAAAAACGCAATTGACAAAAGAAGGAACACGAAAAATAAAATACAGTCAACAAAACTCTACACAGATATGTAGCACACTTTTACGCAACAGGAACATCACCAAACATTAAATATGAACTAAGGTACTATGGAAGGATAAGCAGTTCCTAAGCCACTACTGACACCCATAGTAATACACATGTTAAAAATCAATTTATACATCGAATAGAAAATTTGTATATAATTGCATGATCTTATGGCATTACCAAATTTACATATTATCACAGCATGTAACTTCTATAACTCTAATAAATGATCGAAAGTGAACCGAAAACATTTTTCTTAATAAAGTATAATAAGCAAGACCGTTCCAATAGAAACCACATATATGCGGGAAAAAATATTACAAAGAACAACAAGAACTCAATTGATGAAAACTATGGGAAAAATCAGACGCTCCAGAATGGTAAGCAGTCCCTTTGCAGTACAAGGCACCCGTTGTGTGCTTATAACATATACAATTTGGAGAGGAGAACAGTATTGTAGCCAAGACAAATAGAACACATCAGTGTTAATATGTGACAAATATATCTAATAACGGATAAAAGAATGACGATGTCCAAAATAACTCCAAATTCACCATTAAGAAACTTGGTTCAAACTCTTTCTTTTGGCCACAACTCTAACATGAAAGTCCTAAATAGCATTTGAAATATCGTTTAATCAACAGGGAGACAAATACATCATATGCAAGTCCTGCTGGAATGTTACTATATACAAAAAGAGCACATTTTTTTTTTAAAGCTGACCACTTTTTTCTTAAAATATTTGTCCGATGAAACTGAAAGATATGAGGCTTAAAATTTAAAATGTATGCTAGACATGTGTTTCGCCCAGATTAAACAAACCAGTGGCGCTCCAATCGAAACAGTAAAAACATTAAATCAATTGAAATTAAAAGAACACTAGATACAAAATATGACTAAGGAACTTTATTTTACTTAAACATGCTGTATATAAATATTGTTATGAACTGCCATGTTAATATAAAAAATAAGGTGATGTGGTATAATTTGCCATCCCTTTTCATACATTTCAATATTTATTATTTTCCACAGGAACAACACAGATGCTGGATATTGAATGCTAAAGCCATATATTCCATGTTTCTTCTAGGAAACAATTTTGTGTTCGTGTCCATCAATTTGACGAAATAGCAAAGATTCTTCAAAAAGGCCAAAGATTACCACTGATTAAATTTTTTTTTTATACGTAGATCTATTAAAGAAATGAAAATGAATGAAGACTATACTTACTCTCACACGTGTATGAAAAGTTAAAATATCCAAAACTCTCTAAACAATTCACTGGAATAGTAGTTATGGCATGCATATCTATCGTACATGATAACTCGTTATCACATTGCTGTTTCACTATATTAACAGCATCACCGATTATACTGCATTGATGTTCCCTTGACATACAGTTTTTACTAGTCCGAATGATGTCAATCGTCTCAATGTTTATTCTTAGACCATTCTCACATGAAATCGATGGAAGTGCATCTAGAGATATGGTTGTATTTCTGGTATCTGAAGTTAAAATGAACGAAACATGTAAACACAATAAATCAGATTACAGAGCAAACATTGTATGTATAAAATAAATATTCTCTTTTTCAAAGTACTTGACTTTTTTGTCTTACACCATGTACACTTGTACGATATCATTAACTAAGATAATTCGGTTCTTAAATATGTGAAGTGATTATTTTGAAAATCATTCCTTTTGAAGTTTACAAGAGCGCAATTATTTGTATTATCATGTTTGAAAAAAAAATGTGTGTCCAAATCCTAGATATAAACAGGATTTTCCGATTCAAATCAGTAGTTATTCTGAGAACGTTTTAAGTTTCATCCATACTTGGTCGACATTCGAGATCACCCGTGTAACATATACAAAATACGATACAAATATTAAAAACATATATAAAATACCGTAACGATACAAATATTAAACACACTATAGCCGAAATGCACGCTGATAAATGGCCCATTCAACCCCATAGATAACAGTCTCATATCAAATTCCACTGCAATATGACTGTATTTGACAATTTTGAGTATTTTGATAAAGAAATGCCATTTTCATTCTATATACGTATACATGATATAAGTTACAAGAGCATATTTTTTTATAATCTATTTTCTATGCAGGAAAGGTTAACCTTCAATGCATTTGAAAAAGTTTCTGGAAAGGCAAATTTATTATGACTCGTTCGTAAATACATTAAATATATTTCTACACTATTTTTAATTTGAAGTTCTGTGGCCTGTTTATCGAAGCGCTCTTAGGACTAGGACATGTCCTTAGATCATCTTAGGATATAAAATGTATCTTTGTCCTAAGTTGGTTCATCAAAACATGTCATAACTTAGGAAAACTTATACAAATCGTCCTAATTTTAGGTGTTCAACGATGGTCCTACGATGGTCCTGACTTGCGGATATATTATATGATGGTTAATTTGTTAATAAATACGGCCGCCGCCTATATATGTTTATTAAGGGAGCAATATTACTAATTTGTGTAGCAATAGACTGCCTAGGGACTATAATAATCCACTGAACTTTTTGGGTGACATTGATATTATACGCAAGTATAGATTTTCACGTCCATAACATAGGCGTATAGAGAATGGATCACAAAAAAAATATTCATAAACAGGGTCCATTCCCCATGGGTCCGTGTAACACTTAACAATTCAAAAATTTAAAAAGTTTTCAAATTTTAGTTTTTGGGATTTTTGGTCAAAGTTTTAAAATATCAACATTCTAAATTTTTGAATTTTTTGAAATTTTTAAAATTTCACCAAATAAATAAAATTTTGAAATTCTAAAATTCGTTTTAAAATTTAATAGTTTAGATATTTAATCAAACTTTTATAATACTAAACATAACGTGCAGTTTTCATCATTTTGCTTTTTGAAAGTTTGAATAAATTATTTAGATTTTTGATTAAAATATTAAAAATAGAAAACGGACGAAAAGAGTACATCTGTATCATTATCGCGTTTGTTGTACTTGTAAAGTGCGAACAGAACAAAACAGAACGAAACGAAACAAAATAAAACAAATCCAAACGAAAGTTGCCAAAACGAAACGAGACAAAACAAAACGAAATATTATGAAACGAAACGAAATGAAGATGGTTACTTAAAATCAATGTAAGCAATAAAACAAGCGGCAAACGGGGATCAAAGCGGAGAAAAATTGAACAAAAAAAAATATATAAGAGCGGAAACTTAATTTTAAAAAAAAGACACTTTTATTTTTACCATTCTTAAACAGGAATTAAAAGAACAAAACCAATTGAATCATTTTAATTGCCAAAAAAAAAAAAATATTTAAAAAAGATGCTGTATCGCTTTTAACAAATCAGATATCACATGAGATATCAGTATACAGGAACTTTTAAAGTTTTACATCTATTATAAATACTCAATTTCCGACCCATTTTAAAGCTGCATTAAACAGATTAATTTTACTTACAATTAACAAATCTCGAACAGAAGCTAAGCGTTTCTGATAATTTATTCAGAACTATTAATCAAAGGAGATAACAATCTCGTAATCGTAATCGTAATGGACAAAAGGAATTCTAGGTTAGATATTTTACTCCCATTTTACAGTTGTACTTGTTCTACACTTTTGCCTAAACGTCAGTTGCTTAATAAAGCATTTGGGAGAAGAGTAAAAACTTACCAACTCGCAGTAAGCCGAATAATGTGGTAAGATTGAGTTTGCAAATATACTTTAAGCAATACCTAATCACCAAAATGGTTCAATACACGTGTATTCCCTCGGTTTATTCCCGATTGTCCCACTTTTTAAAATTTTAGAGTTCTGATTGTCCCACATGAAAAGTTCTGATTGTCCCACATTATTTTATGAAGTAAAATGTTCTTAGATAAACAATGTAACTGTTGTTTGTTTTGCTAAATAAACAAGAATTAATTTATTGCACATTTAATATTAATTTTATAGAAGTATAAAAAAAATGTTTTTAAAAACATTAGATTAATGCACTTTTGATTAAAAAAATTTTATTTCTGATTTATGAAATATATCTACAATGTTACGTTATTTATAAAACAAATTTCAATACCGTAATTTTAATTACATTTTCTCTATAAAGTTTTTGAATAAATAATGCATGCAATTTAAAAAAAAAAGGTATAAACTCATTTACATTCTACACTTTACACGAACTTGTTGATGGAGAGATTTTTCCAGAAGTCTTTACAATTTTACTAGGGAAGCCAGAGGACATGAATACAACATTCTCTGCACTATTGAAGACTGCTAACACCCAACGTCAGATTCACCTGAACCCAACAACTTCCTTTTTTTGATAACGAAGCTGTTGTCTAGAATTCTGCCAGATCAGCCTTTCTAAGAATCAATATCAAAGGTTGTTTTTCCAATATTCCCAGTGTCTTTGCCATAAAGTGCAGTCAACAGGACTCGTCACCAACTATAAAGAAGAACCAGACTTCCATAAAAAAAAAGATGTGGTATAATTGCCAATGCGACAACTCTCCAAAAAAGACTAAATGACACAGAAATTAACAACTATAGGTCACAATACGGCCTTCAACAATGAGCAAAGCCCATACAGCAGAGTCAGCTTTAAAGGTCCCATATGAAAAATGTAAAAAAATTCAAACTAGAAAAACTAACGACCTAATTTATGTACAAAATAATGAACGAAAAACAAATGTGTTACACAGTAACGAACGACAACCACTGAATTATAGGCTCCTGACTTGGGACAGACACATACAGAATGTGGCGGGGTTAAACTTATTTGAAGGCGCCAATCCTCCCACTAACCTGGGACAGTGTTGTAACAGTACAACATAAGAATAAACTAAAAAAAATAAGTTGAAAAAGGCTTATCTCATCAGATGGGTACAGACAGAAATACATCTAACAAAGAGTGGACATGGACGTGGACGGCTACTTATACATCCCCACAACAAAGACACTAAGTACAGATCTTAGAGTACTCGCAGTTACTGACAGCTAGTTCAAAGCCAATAAAAACTAATTAAAAAAATCATGCATCTAAGACTAAAATTTTATGATTTCATATTGCATTCCATGTTTGATGATACTTCAATTGTACCTACTACATGTATGTGCAAAATATAATATGTAAGTATTATTATTTGTTCATGGTTTTTTTCATATTTTATAAGTTACAGTGATTAGTAAACTGTAATTAACTGATACAGACTATAAAAACAAATTAATCACTATCAAAACAATTCCCAATTGTCCCACATTTAAACTTCCCAATTGTCCCACAAACATATTCCCGATTGTCCCACAAAATTTCATTACTTTTTTACCTGTAATTTCAAAAAGTGGGACAATCGGGAAGACACCATTCCCTCAAACTTGAATTTAGATTTTTTTTATTTTGCTTTTCGGTTTCTTACTATCTGCATCCATGTTGGCAGATAGAATCATTGAACGTACAATTTGAACGATCATTTTTTGTCTTTTATCGATATATATTATACAACTACTGTCTTTTGATGAGGTAAATATGTGGTTTTAATTTCTTTTGAAAAACTGATATTCCCTGAGACCAACGGCCGAAGTGAATTACCAGTTTTTCAAAAGTCAATTAAACTACATATTAACCGAAACAAAAGACAGTAATTGTTTCTTCCGTATTCCGAGAGAGAAAATGTATGTCATGACATTTATTTACCAAAACCAATTGTACATCAAACGATTTTACCATAATCATACACGTAAAAGCATGCGACGTTTTGAGCAGTGAATATACTTTTTCCGCATGTGAATATGTTGTTTTATTCAGAGTGCATTTCTTTCTAACCTAACCAAAATTTTGTAAACGTTGTGTGGCGTTTGTTGTTTTTTTCTAAACGCTACAAAAGGAGAAACAAATACATCGTTAAATCAGTGTTTACTGACCCTGTTTGAACTTTCCATTGTGCATGCACATGTTGTTGGTAAACAGACTTTTTGCAAACGCAGAAACAAAGAGTGCATTTTTTTTCTAACCAAAAGTTTGTAAACGTTGTGTGGCGTTTCTTATTGTTTTCTAAACGCTACAAAAGTAGAAACACATACATCGTTTAATCAGTGTTTACTGACCCTGTTTGAACTTTGAATAATGCATGCACATGTTGTTGGTAAACAGACCTATTACAAAAGTAGAAACAAATAATGGTTTAATCAGGTTGAAGTTAGAAACAAATGTAGCGTTTGTATAACAGACGATGAACGACAAACTGTAGACGCAGTTTTAGCGAGTGCATAGTTTGTCAAAGTTTATGTAAAGTTTGCAAGCGTATGTTAGAAACAAATGATCAAAACATGTGCGCGCTTAGCCGTTTGCATCGGAAGTGTTAGAAAGAAATGCACTCAAAAACATCGTTTAATCAGGTTGAAGTTAGAAACAAATGTAGCGTTTGTACTAACAAACGATGAACGACAAACTGTAAACGAATTTTTAGCGAGTTCATAGTTTGTCAAAGTTTATGTAAAC